TTGCTAAAGAGGCCCTCGCCAGGGCCATGCTGGGAGAGATGCACGAGAATGATATGGTCCAGCACCAGTTGGGGCATCCGCTGGAGAAGAGGTGGGTGTATCCGTGGGAAGAGGAGGACGAAGTACCAGCGGTGTATGCAGAACCGACCCAGATCGAGCTGCCAGCCGCACGGGAAGAGGCAGCCGTGAACAAGAAGCGAGAGGACTTGGACTGGGTGGAGGAGGCCATCGAGAGGCAGCGGAGAAGGGAGAGCTATGAGCGTGAGTTCGGATCAGGAGAATTCGCCCTGATGGCGGCAACGAAGGAGGTAGGAGCAGAGACGAAGACACAGGGAGAGCGATCGCAAGAGAAGGCACAGGGCCAACCGACGGAGCCAGCGAAGGCTGAAGGGTCAGCGCGGGGGATGAGGGAGAAGGAGCCAGCGGCACCAGCAGCAGCAGAGCATCAGTGGGAGATCGGAGATGGCGTCACCGAAGAGGACGCGGCAGAACTAAGGAAGGTGCTTGCGAAACATCGGCAGGCGTTCGCTTACACACTGAAGGAGGTGGGCAGGTGCAACATGGCGGAAGTCAGCATCGAGTTAACCACTGAGATTCCAGTGTATCAGCGGCGGCGGAGGATGACAGCAGAAGAGCTACAGATCTGCACAGAGAAATGCCAAGAGCTGATGGAAGCCGGGTTCATACGGAAATCCAACTCTGAATACGCAGCAGCCACGGTAGTAGCTGCTAGAACAGACCTCACAGGGCAAGTGCTGTCAAAGCAAATGTGTGGGGATTACCGCGGGCTCAATAAAGTGACGGTGATGAAACGGTACCAAACGCCCACGCCGGACGAGCTGTTCGACAAGTTAGCGACAGCGGTGGTCTTCTCCACCCTGGATCTGCGGCAGGGGTTCAACCAGATACCCATCGTAGAAGCTGACCGGAAGAAAACAGCCTTCCACGGGCCGGATAGGCAATACGAGTAGAACACGCTGCCATTTGGGTTGAAGTCGGCCTCGCCGGAATTCCAGCGCATTATGGATCAGATCCTGCGCGACGTGCCGAACGCCGCCTGCTATATTGACGACGTGATCGTGTTCAGCAGGGACAGCAGTGCACATGTGAAGGATGTCGAGGCGGTCCTAAGGGCGATACAGAACGCGGGATGACCTGCCACCCAGGGAAGTGCAAATTTGGCCAGAGCACGGTGGCGTACCTAGGATTCGAAGTGGTAGGGGGGAGGATCGGCATACAGAAGGCGAAAGTAGAAGTGCTGGATCGCGTGTCAACACCGAAGGACAGGAGTGCCCTGCGTGCATTGCTAGGCTTCCTCAACTACTACAGGAAGTTTGTGCCAAACTTCAGCAGCCGAGCGCAAGCACTGAATCAACTACTGAGGGAGGATTGCAAGTGGGAGTGGGGACCAGACCAGGAGAGGGCCGTGCAGGACCTCATGGGCGCCGTAAAGAATGGAGCAGTGCTGGAGCTACCTAGAGCCGATCTGCCTTACGTGCTCTACACTGACTGGAGCAGCGCGGGCATGGGTGCAGTCCTGGCACAGATGAAGGGGGAGGTGGAGAAGGTAGTGGCCTTCGCAAGCCGCAGCTGCAATGCAGCAGAGAGCAACTACTCATCGTACGAGGGAGAGGGGTTAGCGGTAGTGTGGGCACTTAAGCACTTTCGGGTGTACCTACACGGGAGGAAGTTCACCCTGGTGACGGATCACCAACCCCTGCTGTGGCTCATGCAGACGCCGGATTTGACGGGCAGGAACGTGCGGTGGGCAATGAAGCTCCAAGAGTACGACTTTGAGATTAGGCATAGGCCGGGGAAAACCATGCAGCACGTTGACGGGCTCTCGAGGAACCCGCCGGTGATGCAGCCCTCAGCGTGCCTGATGGCGCTGGCGAAGGAAGCAGACCAAGGGGGGCAGTGGGGAGAAGGGCGAGGCGGACCTGCAGACATATGGGAAGATAAGGCAGCCCTAGCATGGATTCAGGGGGCAACCACAGAGGCAGGAGCGGTGACAGCTAGAGTAAGAGCACGAGGGGAGTTTTACCGCTGGTTCAAGGGGCAAGTGCAGCTGAGGACAGGAGAAGGATGGAAGCACGTGCCGGCACCAGAGGAGAGGGAAGGTATCATCAAAGAAGTGCACGAGAAGCTGGGGCATTACGGGCCACTAAGAACGCAGCAGCTGGTGCAAACCGGATGGTGGTGGGCAGGCCTGCGCAAGCAGGTTAAGGACTGGGTGTGGAAATGCGAGGCATGCTGCCGGAACAGGGCGGTGCTGGAACGGGAGAAGGCAGAGCTACAACCGTTGCCGGTGGTGAGCTTGGGCTATAGGTGGTCGCTGGACATCGCGGGGGAGCTTCCACTCAGCACGAAGGGAAGACGTTACATATTGCTGATGGTGGAACACGTAAGCAAATGGGCAGAAGCCAAACCCTTAGTGCACAAAACGGCAGAGGCGGTGGCAGAAGCGTTTGAGGAGATGGTGGTTACGCGTCTGGGGGCATGCGGAGAGGTGCTGACGGACCAAGGCACAGAATTCAAAGGAGCGTTCGATGAGCTGCTCAGGGCAACGGGAATCAGACATCGCTGCACGTCCCGTTATCATCCGCAGAGCGATAGGTTGACCGAGCGGCTGGTGCAGACGGTGAAAAGAGGGTTAAGGGCTTACGGTGAGGAGCATAAGCGGGATTGGGACAAAAGGCTCTGCTGGGTCATGGCTGGGTACCGATTTAGCAAGCAAGCAGCACTCAAGGACGTGTCGCCGTATTACCTGCTGTTTGGCAAGGAGCCAGTGATGCCCGTGGGGGCACCAAAGCTCCTCCTGGACGTGGTGACCACAGGATTGGCAGAAAAATGGGTCGCAGTAGCCGACGCGCGAGCGGCGTACCTACGGCGGCTGCTGCCCGCAGCCATGGAGAATTTGCACGTCGCTCAGCTGCGGGACATTGAGAGGTACAAGCAGCGGCAAGAGATAAAGGGAAGGAAGGAGGAAGCAGGGATGCAGGAAGGGGAGGAGGTGTACCTGAGGCGGCAGCGACAGCACGCCCTGGATGTGGGGCTATCACAGCAACAGTGGGCAGTCAAGGAAGTTAAGCCGTCGGGGGTGATCATACTGGAGGATGGCAAGGGCAAGCAAGTGGCCGATCACGTGACCAATGTGGCGAGGATTCGCTCGGAGAAAGGCAAGGGAAGCCCCTCTGGTCCCATGACGCGTGCGAGGGCGGCGGCGATGCGTCACGAGAGGGGGCAGGAAGGGGCTGAGAAGGAAATGAATAAAGACAAGGGTAAGCAGAAAGTGGGGTAGCGGAACGATACAGAGAAAGGAGAGAGAGGGGGGGGGGGAGTCATTGAAGACAAGGCAAGGGTGATGGGAGAACGCCAAGGGACAATATGAGCGGAGATGAGACAGGTGGAAAGAGGATGAGGGGAGGGATGTGTGGGCAGGAACAAGGGTAGCAGGCTGGGCAATGAGCTAGCCGGGTGAGGGCAAGGAGGTTTCCGACAGGTCACTGACCTTTGACTTTCACGTAACCTCCAGCGGTTACTTCAACCTCCGAGGGTTGACTCGCTGGTGCCTCGATATGATCTGTTTCGCTTGTGCCTTGGTGTTTCGACACGATAGAAGCGTTTTTAGGATCGATTGTTTCAAACATCGCCTAGGGCACGTTTTTGCATTTCGCGTTTCTCCTATGTGCGCGACTCGGGCAGCAGATCGAAATAGTAGTGGTGGGCCCTTTTAAAAATTCGGTCCTAAGGAGCATTGTGCTCTTAATACCATGTTAGAATCACTAGCTAGGTGAGGAATGTCGATTAGGTAAGGGAGAGGGATACAAGACTATCGAGAGTGAAATGTTGTACCCTTTAAGGAAAGAACCATACAGAACCTAGAGTGAAATGAACAGAACAATATGTTTTGACAAATTCGTGGCTTGTATAGCATCTGTTAGATTGTACCGGCTAAGAGAACACGCGTTTTTTCGTGTTTCATGTCAAAGAATAGCATGGCCTGGTCTGGTGTTGCAATGGGGTTGTGTCATCTGTTAGGATGTCCGCCCGTTCGTCTGTATTTATTAACCAAGTTTGTCCGTGAAACAACGCTTTTCCTTGATGGACGAAAATGCTGATTTATCAGGATAACAAAAAAAACAGGGGAAGATTTGATATGATAGTCGTATTTCATCCATGTTTATGAATAGTTTGACAAGAAGGATGTGATGTGGTAGTGTGATGTAGTTAGGATATAATCCAGAATGGTTCCAACACATTATCGAAGCAGTTCATCCAACCTCTTCCCCGCATCCCTAAAAGCCACGTTGTTGGGCATGATGCTGTTTGCCGAAAAGCCGCGTCGCCCTTAAAACCGAGGTCACAAGTTTGCCAAGTTTGGTTCATCCTTCCTACCCTTGGTTGGGTGTAACCCTGTTGACAGCGTTGGGGCCTGAAAGTTCACGCTTGGATGGGAAGAAACTCTCGCCCCCCAAAATTACTGTAGCGTCTGCATCGCCTGCACCCGAACAGGGCCCAAATGTTTCGCAGAGGCAACTGAGGTAGGAAACCTGAAACCAGCGGGGTAGAAACTTGAGACTCGATGTATCCAGGCACCAAACGCACTGCTCGATAACAGCCGCGTCTCCTTAGTAGTCCACAACTCACCTTTCCTAGCCGAGACAATGCACACATTAGGTGCGTGTGGTGAGCGTAGTGGACGATTTTAGTCAGGCCGCAAAGAACCCGCACTCACTTCATCCCCTGAAGGGATTAGGTAAAAGCCAACGAGGGCGGCGTTGCGAATTTGGCGTCGACAGCTAGGGCGCGAGGAAAAACGCCACGTGCGCCCACGAACGCGCGGGCTCGAGGGCGTCACCTTACGCAACGCGCATTGTGTGTCTGCTCGGCGATTTTATCATGGTACAGTGCTACGCTCCCTCTTTCGTACTATAAAGTAGACACCGTCCCAATCCCGCTCTCATCCTACTGCTCCCTTGAACCACCATCCCTTTCCCATGTTCTTCTCCCTACCTCCCATCGCAGTGCAGTCCCCTTTCCCTACTCCTACGCTCATCCGTTGTGCCTCCTTCTCAATCCCGCACTCATCCTTTTCCCTCATGCGCTATTGTTCTATTCACCCTTTCCTCTCCTGTCCCCCATTGCAGGGCGGTCCCATTTTCCCTCTCCTCCTCTCACCCGTTGTGACACTGTCCCAATCTCGCTCTCATCCTACTGCTCCCTTGAACCACCATCCCTTTCCCTCTTTCTTCTCCCTACCTCCCATCACAGCGCAGTCCCCTTTCCCTACTCCTACGCTCATCCGTTGTGCCTCCTTCCCAATCCCGCTCTCATCCTTTTCCCTCATGCGCTATTGTTCTATTCACCCTTTCCTCTCCTGTCCCCCATTGCAGGGCGGTCCCATTTTCCCTCTCCTCCTCTCACCCCTTGTGACACTGTCCCAATCCCGCTCTCATCCTACTGCTCCCTTGAACCAACATCCCTTTCCCTCTTTCTTCTCCCTACCTCCCTTCGCAGGGCAGTCCCCTTTCCCTTCTCCTACGCTCATCCGTTGTGCCTCCGTCCCAATCCCGCTCTCATCCTTTCCTCCCCACCAGTCCCGTTTCATTCCCCCTTTCATCTCCTTACCTCCCTGAGTGGGTTGTCCCATTCCCCTACTCACAATGGGGGATTACCTTGTGCCTCTGTCTTAATCCCACTCTCATCCTTTTCCCACTTGCGCTATTGTTCTATTCACCGTTTCCTCTCCTCTCCTCCATTGCAGGTGAGTCCCATTTGCTCTCTCCTCCTCTAACCCCTTGTGACACCGTCCCAATCCCTCTCTCATCCTACTGCACCCTTGCACCACCATCCCTTCCCCTCTTTCTTCTCCCTACCTCCCTTCGCAGGGCAGTCCCCTTTCCCTACTCCAACGCTCATCCGTTGTGCCTCTGTCCCAATCCCGCTCTCATCCTTTCCTCCCTTCTCCCTCCCCATGTCCCCCGGCGCCCTTGTACCCTCTCTGATCCCTGCTCCGATCTCTCTTCCCAATCCCATAGGCTTGCAATCTGGTCGGCACAACCACGTCGACTGATCCAAGCGTTAAGCTTAGGGAACTGGTCGAAGACATCGCCAAGAAGCACAGAACGAAGCAAGTATCTATATGTAGAAACATGCAGGAGCCTGTAGCTCTGCTGCGTAGCGGAGCAACGATCATGTTTGGAGGCAATCGGGAGGCATCATGCGGGGACCTGATCTACCTATACACGCTGGCGGCACCACGCCTCACGAAGAAACTCATGACTGTTGCATCAGAAAACGGTGAGTAAGTTGGATAACGGTGTGCTTGCATTAGGATTATGGAGTGCAATGTGCTAGTTTTTAATACGCCAGCACCCGCATAGACCGTGATCCATAGTTCATTCATGCTCCGTTTAATAAAAACCCATCTTGCTTCCAGGGACGGACCGGCGTACTGCTGCCACCGTTGCTCGCATGCGGCTCACGGCACATGGTCAGGATCTACAATTCGGTGACGTGGATTCGGTCGGGAAGGTGGCTGATCTCATGTGCAAAGCACCGCGATCAATGCGCCCTGTAACGTACGGATTCGAGAAATGTTTTTTCAACAGTTCGCGGAAACTGCAACTTTCCAAAGGCATCAACCATGGGGGGGACCGACGTGGACCCAAATTCAGACACTTCAAAGAAACAGGTAAGGGAATATGAAATTGGGGTGCATATGTCATGCACGTTGACATGCTAGGCTTGGGAGAGGCAGGGTGCGAACGACATACGTTGAATTCTGCTTTCAACTCCAATTAATTAGCAGGAGAACTACTCCAAGACCCACTTGTGCCACCAAGGAGCGTACTGGGCACGGACGTTGAGGATGCTGCCGTTTTTGTGCTGGAGGAGGACATGTTGCCCATCCCTGAGGAGGACGAGGGTGAGGAGGTAGAAGAGGACGATGCAGAAGCCCTCGATGATCAGATACAGCCAAGCAGCACCCCTGCCAGGTATGCGTGCTGTAAACACATAACACCCTGGTGCAGCGGGTTTGCCATGGGCGGCAGCCCATTTGTGCCTCAGATGTTATGCTGGCATTGAAGGGCTGCGAGGGTGTTCCATTGGTCGTAAGGAGTCATGAGCTGCGGGCCATGTGTTACACTGGCGGTAAGTAGGTGCACTTGGTTTGGCGCCCATGTGTTATTCTGGTGGTAAGGAGGAGACATGGGCTGCAGCCCGTGTCACGAGCTGATGGTAAGTTGGTGCCTTTTGTTTGCAGCCTAGGTGTAGGGCACCGTGGTAAGGAGGTGCCATAGGCTGCATCTAGGACACTACTTTCAACATTGTTAGCACATTTGAAACAAGACAGCAATAGGGATATGATGCACATTGGAACTTATCCCCCAAATTGCGGTTTTACGTGCTTGATAGGGTGGGCGCGACTCAGGATGAGGCGCGCGTTCACGGGTTGGATGAGGCTGAGCACGTTGCTGTCACTGAAGAGCATGCGGAGGTACCAGTCGGTGCGCCGCAGGATGAGGGCGACACGGTTGGGGTGGGGGGCGCAGATTCCACTGCTGGGGAGGCCGTGCATGAGGAGTCAAGCCCAGCCAGGTATGAACGTCATGCAGCAAAGCTGGTGCCTTGGAATGCAGCCCATGCGTCGCTCTTGTGGTAAGTAGATGTCATGTGCTTCAGCCCCATGTGTTACTCCGGTGATAAGTAGGTGCCTTTGGCTAACAGCACTTGTTTTCTCCATGTGATCGGTAAGTGCCATGGGCTGCAGCCAAACTACTAGTTTTGATAGTGTTAGCGTGTTTGGCACATAGCATGCCATGCTTAGATGCGAATTATTGTTATAAGCCTACCTCCTGAATTGCATACATATGTGCTTCACAGGGTGGATACGTCTCAGGATGAGGCGTGCGTTCACGGGTTGGATGAGGCTGCGCATGTCGCTGTCCCCGAAAAGCACGCGGCGGTACCAGTCGGTGCGCCGCATGATGACCGCGACACGGTTGGGGTGGGGGGCGCAGATTCCACTGCTGGGGAAGCCGTGCATGAGGAGTCTACCCCTGCCAGGTAAGGGTGTCATGCAACAAAGCTGGTGCCTTGGGCTGCAGCCCATGCGTATTATGGTGGTAACGAGGTGGCAGAGGCTGCAACCCATTTGTTATATTGGTGGTAAGGAGGTACCCTGGCTGGTGTGGATGTGTGTTACTCCGCTTATCATGATGCCATGTTCATCGGTGCCATTCCCACGTTCGTCCATTATCAGTATGTGGATTTGCTGTGTTCCACCATTGTCTTGGAGTGTGCTTGACAGGGTGGATGCTGCACAACGGACTGATGGGTCGGGCCGTAAGAAGCGTTCCCTTCCCGGATGGCCTGAGTCGCCTAGTCTTGCTGAGCTCTCGGGGTCACTGGTATGTCTCCTTGATCCGCTGCTGATCGTCCAGTTCTTCATGACCCTGTGTCTTGGTTGTTCTGTTCGACCTGGGTGCAACGGTCGGATGCGGTTGCAGTCTTGGTTGCGGATGTGGACAACCTTGGGTGTGGCTTGGATATGTGATGAGTGTGGCGGTTCCCTTGAATTCTGGTCATCGCAACGGTATTCCTTTGACGAGGGGCAGGGTTCTCGGGGACCTAGGACCCCTCCCATCGTGTCACAGTACATGGGGGCATTCGCGCTCGCCGGTCTAGGTTTCCAAGCATTGTGGGAGGTCAGTCGCACTCTCGGAGTGAAGATTCCTAGTAAACAGACGTTTTATCGGTACATGAGCGGTGAGAATGGCTTGTGGTGCTCTATACAGAAACACATGGGTAGGGGGGAGATACACATCAGGGTAGGGGGGAGATACACATGGGGTTAGGGGGGAGATACACATGGGGGCAGGGGATTGATACACATGGGGGTAGGGGGGAGATACACATGGGGTTAGGGGGGAGATACACATGGGGGCAGGGGATTGATACACATGGGGGTAGGGGGGAGATACACATGGGGTTAGGGGGGAGATACACATGGGGGCAGGGGATTGATACACATTGGGGTAGGGGGGAGATACACATGGGGGCTGGGGAGAGATACACATGGGGGTAGGGGGGCTGCACACATGGGGTTAGTGGGGAGATACACATGGGGGCAGGGGATTGATACACATTGGGGTAGGGGGGAGATACACATGGGGGCTGGGGAGAGATACACATGGGGGCTGGGGAGAGATACACATGGGGGTAGGGAGGAGGTACACTTGGGGTTAGGGGGGAGATACACATGGGGGCAGGGGATAGATACACATGGGGGCAGGGGATTGATACACATGGGGGTAGGGGGGAGATACACATGGGGGTAGGAGGCAGATACACATGGGGGCAGGGGATTGATTCACGTGGGGAAAGGGGATAGACAGCGTGGAGCCAGGGGGGAAGGGGTGTGATACTGTGGGGGCAGGGTAGTAATACCATGGTGGGGGTTGGGGGGGTGATACCGTGGGGGAATCAGTGCAGAAGGAGGGGGGAAATGGAGTGCCATTGTGGGGGTAAGGTTGTGCGAAGCAAGGGGTCTAACCCCGTGACGTACGTATAGATTAGGGAGTGCTATCGAGGGGGAAGGGGATTGCGAAACGTGGGGGCAAGGTAGTGCGAAAGGAGGGGGATAGGGAGTGCTATCGAGGGAGCGAGCGAACAGGAAAGAGGGGGAAAGGGCGGACAGTCGAGGGGGAAAGGGCGTGCGACACGCAGAGGAAAGGGAGTGAAGGGAGGGAACGGAGGGCACGGAGGGAAGGGAGGGAAGGGAGGGAAGGCGGGGAAGGGAGGGAACGGAGGGCACGGAGGGAAGGGAGGGAAGGGAGTCAAGGGAGGGAACGGAGGGCACGGAGGGAAGGGAGGGAAGGGAGAGAAGGGTGAGAAGGGAGAGATTGGAGGGAAAGGAGGGAGGGGAGTGAAGGGAGGGAAGGGAGAGAAGGGGGCGAAGGGAGGGAAGGAGGGGATGAATGGACGGGAGAGTAAGGAGGGAAGTAAGACGATGGAAGACTGGAAGTCAGGATGAGACGGAAGGGAGAAAAGGGTGGTAGGGGGGGAGAGATGGGCGGGTTGGGAGAGAAGGTCGAAATTGGAGAGAAGGGAGGGGAGGGAGGGAAGGGAGGGAAGGGAGGGACGGGAGAGAAGGGAGAGAACAGAGAGCAGGGAGAGACAGGAGAGTGCAGGGAGGGATGAGAGGGAAGGGAGAGAAGGGAGAGAAGGTAAGGGGGGAGAGAAGGGCGGGAAAGGAGAGAAAGGAGGGAAGGGAGGGAAGGGAGAGAAGGGAGGGAAGGGAGTGAAGGGAGGGAAGGGAGGGCAAGAGGGAAGGGAGGGACGGGAGAGAAGGGAGGGAAAGGATTGACGGGAGAGAAGGAAGTCGGGATGAGAAGGGAGGGGGGAAAGGGTGGTAGGGGGGGAGAGATGGGCGGGAAGGGAGAGAGGGTAGAAGATGGAGAGAAGGGAGGGAAGGGAGGGATGGGAGGGAAGGGATGCAAGGGAGAGACGGGAAAGACAGGAGATTGCAACGAGGGATGAGAGGGAAGGGAGAAAAGGAATCACAGGGACGGGTGAGAAGGAAGGGAAAGGAGAGATTGGACAGGGAGAGAAGGGAGGGAAGGGAGAGAGGGAGTGAAGGGAGAGAGGGAGTGAAGGGAGAGAGGGAGTGAAGGGAGAGAGGGAGTGAAGGGAGAGAGGGGGGAGAAGGGAGGGATTGTAGGGATTGGAGGGAGGGGACGAAAGGGAGGGAAGGGAGAGAAGGGAGGGAAGGGAGAGAAGGAGGGCAGGGAGAAGGGGAGGGAAGGGAGAGAGGGGGGAGAAGAAGGGGATTGTAGGGATTGGAGGGAGGGGACCGAAGGGAGGGAAGGGAGAGAAGGGAGGGAAGGGAGGGAAGGAGGGCAGGGAGAAAGGGAGGGAAGGGAGAGACGGGGGAGGAAGGGAGGGATTGAAGGGATGGGAGAGAAGGGAGGGATGGAGGGACGGGGGAGAAGGGGGAGAAGGGGGAGAAGGGAGAGACGGGAGGGAAGGGTACGCGGGTTGACGGAAGAGGGATTAGGGAGGCGGGAAGGCATGTATGGCGGCGGGAAAAGTGAATCGGGCGGCGGGATTGGCGAAGCGGGCGGCGGCAACGCGAATTCGGCGGCGCGAAAGGGGAATATGGCGGCGGGAAGGGGCGGTCGGGCGGCCCGACCGGAATCAATGTGCGGGAAAGGGCCCTCAGGCGGCGCGGAAGGGGATTCGGGCGGCAGGATAGGGGAACCCTTCGGCGGGAGCGTGAATCGGGCGACAGGGCGACGGTGGAGGGAACGCGGCCGGCGGGAAAGAGGAATCGGGAGGCAGTAGATGAGGGCAATCTCAGTTTATAGTAATGCGCGTCTTGAGTGCTCGGTGGCGTGCGGCACAGCGCATTATTACGGCCCCACGTATCACGGCCCGGCACACCCCATGCTAGCGCGACGGCTCTCTTTCCCCCCTACTCACTCTCGACTTTCGCGGAGAGTTCCGCGTAATCGGCGGTTTCGGGGGCCACGCCTGCACTCGAACCATTATCCTCTCGGCCCGTCATCCCTAAGTGAAGATTTCTCTCTGCTGGTGCTTGGTTGTTACGTAGCAATCTCGTGTATGTTGTACTAAAGCTAGGTCAATGATCTGGTTTAGTCAACTCACGACGTTCTTCTTGCGTGCACCTAGCCGTCACTGAACTCGACAGGCATTGGAAAAAGGTCGCAGAGTGTGTTTGGCGATGTTTCACATTTGGCACATATGTCGCCTGGCAATTGTGGTAACAATGATGTCGCCCAAAAACTAGCGAACTGTGTTCTGCGTTTTCGGGAACCCAGCTACTCGCCATCCAATCCTAATTTTCTTCCCAACCAACCTTCCTACCTTTGAAATCTGTGGACCCTGGGTTTTAACACCCCTGCATCTGAAACTCGATTTCCGTCGTGACGATCGAGGCTCGGCACCGCCATTGTGTGCTCGCCGCGCTGGCGGGAACGAGTGTCGTTAGCAAGTAGTATTGAACGCCACGTGGCCCGAGTTGAAGATTTTTTCTGAATCGGAGGCGACTCGTGAAGGCAGTGCGAGCACGGCGCGAGATTAATGGCCGATATTACTCATCTGGGGAGGCGGGAAGAGTGAGATTGGGGATGTGTCGTATTCTAAGTCAGCGTTCGTCTCCCAAGTGGCGGCGACCTGTGTCAGGTGTCGTTATTTGCGACCAATCCACCCCAGACACGCCAAACGTGCCGTCGTTTGTCGGCGCGTGCGAGATGGCAGACAAGCGAACAGAAAGCGATGCCGCCGTGAGTGAAGGGCGCGCGCAAGAGAGTGGGTGTGGCGAGTGGGAGCCGCAACGCGGCACTCATCACGCCGTTTCATCCCTCCTCGGAAAGAATCGTTCCGACGATGATGCCAGCATAGTCATGGTGGCCCCTCGAGTCGGAGGCGACTCGAGGCCGCGTGCTAGATGGGAAAGCGATGCCGCGGCGGCTGCAGCGCGTGAAGGGCGATAGATGCCGCGCGGTGCGGCTAGTGGGAGCCGCAACGCACGCATCGCACCAGGCCCTTCATGTCCCGTCTCTTCTTAACCCCAGCGGCTTCCAGCTGCACGGTAATTCATCTCTTTTAACCCCAGCGGCTTCCAGCTGCACGGTAATGCATCTCCCTCCTGGTTAATCCCCTTCTGCCCTTGCCTCTTGTCGCCCCACCTCTCCGTCGCCTTCCTCGGTTGCTTGCTTCGTCGCCCTCGCTCCTCGGTCCACGAAAAGCGCCTCTCAGCACCTGGCAGCTCGCTGCTGCCTCTCAGCACTCTCCAGGTACGATGCGAAGGGTGGTAGGGGGGGAGAGATGGGCGGGTTGGGAGAGAAGGTCGAAATTGGAGAGAAGGGAGGGGAGGGAGGGAAGGGAGGGAAGGGAGGGACGGGAGAGAAGGGAGAGAACAGAGAGCAGGGAGAGACAGGAGAGTGCAGGGAGGGATGAGAGGGAAGGGAGAGAAGGGAGAGAAGGTAAGGGGGGAGAGAAGGGCGGGAAAGGAGAGAAAGGAGGGAAGGGAGGGAAGGGAGAGAAGGGAGGGAAGGGAGTGAAGGGAGGGAAGGGAGGGCAAGGGAGAGAAGGGAGAGAAGGCTCGCACCTGGCAGCTCGCTGCTGCCTCTCAGCACTCTCCAGGTACGATGCGAAGAATTAGGAGGCTGAGTCAGACTCAACAGAAGTCACCTGCTGCCACTCGGCACTGTCCCAACAGGTGCGATGATGATGATGCTGCCACTCCCGTCCACTGGACTTCCAGATGCGATTTGCTGCTCCCCAGACCTGCCCACGCTAAACTCTTCGGTCTCCCCCTGCTGCTGCCCTTTAGGCCCACCCACTTTCGGCTCCTCTCCTGCTGCCATTCTTGACGTAAGCCAGTCTTGCCATCATAGGCTTCACATGCTTTATTCGGCCGTTAAGAAGCAAGGGAGTAGTGTGAATGTATGAAGTGGAAGACAGGGCCGAGCGTTTAAGGCATAGCGCTTTGCCCTATTTGCCCCTCCATTCCTCTTACTGCTTCTTCTGTCTCCTGCACCTCTCCCCCCACTCCCGCCCTCCCCATCTCTCCGAGCTCTCACCCCAACTCTCTCCCCCCCACTCACTCCCTCCCGCTCTCCCTCCCACCCCCTCCCGTCCTCCCCCCCACTCGCTCCTGCTCTCCTCTCTGCTATGGTCACTCTCCATCTATAGTTGTCTGTTCCGCCTCCCTGCATGCCAAGACCTTCCATTCGCGTTCACTCACCACGGGACTGCCTTGTCCTTCTCCCGCTGCTTATCTCCTCCACACCCTGTTGCTGCTGCTCCCCTCTGTGCCCTCCCTGCGTGCAGAACCACAACACCACCTGGCTGTCTCCAACTTCCCTTAGCCCATGGCTCGTGTGGTAAGGGTGGGTATGCCTGCCGGCTCTGCAGGTTGCCTTCGTTCTCGTTGCTATTCTATGCTGAAACGATCCGCGACACAACCCCACTAGCATCGCATGAGCGAAAGGATTGAAGGGATAGACTAGGATAGTCGTTGGTTGTGGTGTCTGTTGCTTGCCTGGTGCTTACTGTTCATCCCCGATCCAGCATCACAAGGTATCTCCACTACTTGTTTGTACGTGTGTTGCCATTGCCATGCTTGCACCTGTGCTCCCCGTGTGGCCTGTTGCAGCTACCAGGTGTTACAGGGGGATTGCAAGTCAACCATCCACTCATGCTACCTGCAAGTGGATTCTACTCGTATCTGCACTCCCTCGATGAAAGCAGCCAATTCCGTCGTGCATGCATGCTGAACATGAGACGGGCCAGACGAACTGGCCTCGGCTCGTCACGAGCCGTGCGGATTTGGCGTTTCACTGCCGGTCCGGTCCAGCTGAGAGAAAAAGTCGTCGCCTTTCCACATTGATGAGCCGAGCCGTCCGTTTGGATTGGACTGTTGCTCATGCCTATGCCCTACCATGCGTTCGCTTCACTCATGTGTTGTGCACACTCTCAGGTGAATGCCACTGCTGCGTGTCATGATGCCACCCGCCTTCCTCAGCTTCAGCCCCCCGGAAACACCTCCTCTGCTCAACATGCTCACTCTCTCACCATGCCCGTCCACCTCCTCTGCACTCTGGTAAGCCCCTGAAAGGCTGAGTTTTGCCTAAAGATTTTGAAAACACCAAGGGGCTGGTTTGTTTGCCAGTCGCTGGAAAGTGCTTATGTTTTTCAACTATGTAAATACTTCTATCAATAGACAATATAATTGTGTTTGTCTGCTTCCTGAAGTGCAGGCGTGTGTTGCCTACGTTGTGTTGAATGCTCTGGTGGCGCTACTATGGAGTGTGGAAATATCGTATCCGCAGGCTAATTCCTGGATTCATGAGCAGAAAGTTGCGGTGACGACCAGGCTGTGGGCGCTGATAACCCCATGGGTGTGCTTGCGTGCTTGTGTATCTCGTTTCGGTCCCTCAGCTCCTTACCTTTCCTCAAGCCTTAAATGTATATTCTCTCTCTTCCTGCTCCGCTTTCCTTGCCCTTTTCTCGTCCTCCTCTGTCCCAAACGCTTATTACTCATCCTGCCCTCTCTTCCTTCCCGATGCTCCCTCATCATCTCCCCTCTCACCACGTCTCAGGCCCATGAGATTCTCGACGAGGCAAGGTGAGAGTCTCATCATGTTGTTTTGTTTCTTTCCTTTTATAACATCATATAGAGCCTGTTCTTTTTTATTCCTCTATTCGCTTGGCTCATTCATTTTCTGCTGCCTCTTGTCAAGCATTTTCTAACTCACTCAGGATTTTCAAACATTGAAACCATTCTACATATTATAATATCATGAGATGCGTTTTCTGCCTTTGTAGCTTGTAGCAGTCTCCTGCTTGTTCTCTCTCGACTTCTTGATTGATGTGCATGTGACTGCTGTCTTGTGCATTTGAGCATGGCAGGTTCACACTGTACAGCGTGTACGAAGCTCTTGGAATCACTCTGGGGCGGCTGGTGGGAGTGGATCAGTTTGGCGTGCAACTGGAGGGGCTGAGGGAGCAGCTGGAAGCAGCCAGGGGGGAGTTGGCTGCACACAAGAACCTGATTACAAGGCAAGCCCAGGAGCTGGCAGCAGCAAGGGGGGAAGTTGCTGAGCAGAGCAGTCGTATGCTCAAGGTCGGTGCCCTGGAGGAAGCATTGGTTTCACTTACTCGGGGCGATTGGGGAAGCACACACACACTGAATGTAAGTTGAATTCGCTGGGATGGGAAAACGCACATGGTAGGAACGTGATCAAAGGGCATGCAGAGGAGTTGGCAGCAGCAAGGAGGGAGGTTGCTGAGCAGGCCAATCGGGTGCTCATGGTTGAAGGTGCCCTGGAGGAAGCATTGGTGTCGCTTGTGCGAGGCGAGTGGGGAAGCACACGCATGTTGGATGTAAGTCCTGGGCCTCCCAGTGTGGGGGGGTGTCAGTAGATCTGCACTGTGGATGCCCGATTGATCCTGGAGAGGGTTACAGGCGCGTTCGCCTGGGGGGTTATGGGCGCACTGACCCGCTACTGAAACAAGCCCTTTATCCCAATGGTCTAGTGGTTGAGATTCTGACATCTATCTCAGCTGCACCAAAGTGACAGACGCTGATCTGCAGCATTTGACAGGGCTCTCGCTCAAGACTCTGGAGCTTAGTGGCTGCCACGGTGTCACAGCTGCTGGCATGGTGCATTTGGGGAGGCTGACAAGCCTTGAAAGTCTATTTCTGGGGAATTTAACCACGAATGGCGATGGTTTGGAGCACTTGTCGTCTCTCACGAATCTGAAGCTGCTTGTGCTGCCAGCAGGTCATGGAGCATGTGAAGCACTTGACTGCCTTTCAGAAGTTGGATATGATGGGATGTAGAGTGGCTGATGGTGGGGTGCAGAGGTTGAGCAATCTGCCTTCTTTGACGCACATTATGACAGATCAAAGAAGCTTGCAGTGATGGTTGAATGCTGCTCTTCCTGGAGTGTCTGAGTAGTGATTTTCTGCCTGGCACCGCTCCTGTAGGGTGAGCTTTGAAGCCTAGTTATGCTCATTGTATTGTTGTGTGGTACATTGTATTGTGGAACCGTGCATTGAATGGCACTATAATTCCCTGGATTTACCACCAATCCAAGTCAGAATGCAGAATGGATGTGCTAACACCAAGGATATACCATATGGCCCCAGATAAAAGCGCATATGTGCTTATAATAAGTTATTTTTTTTCAAGGGTGGCGCTTGTAATTGAGTAACGGTGTAAGGAAATTCCCTTTTCCTTACTTCGCATCCCTGCTCAACGCGTACGTCACTGTAGCACCTCAGTCAGCACCGTTACCACTCACGACCATCGCATCATTCATTATCCCGCCCTCTTCGCACATCGCATCCCGACCTCACGGCTCGGCTGGTAACCCGCGCTCCGGGCCTACGCTTCGACACTTTCCCAACCTCAGCCCCAGGCTCGTCGCGCGACAACCACAGTCCATTACCGTTACCACTATTGTTTCGCTATATAATCCTTCGCTCATGTCTTCGCTCATTGTACCTTTTTGCTTCGATAGTGCAATTCTCGTTCGTTCACTCAATTGCACTCATAACACTTGGTAATCAGAGCCTACGATCTCATCTCGGACCGCATCCACACCTTCGCTTCCCACTATCTCAATTTTTGGGGGGGGTAGACGTCTCTCAGCGACACAGCACCGCCGCTCGTAGTGCTCTCTCGCAAGCACGCACGGCCACGACCGAGGCTCTCGCTGAGCTTGCCCGACACCCCCGCCATGGCCGACCTCAATCTCGCCACGTTGACGCAGGAGCAACTCGACCGTCTCGTGCGACAATTGGAGGATTCGGCGCTTGAAATCGCGACGCTCACGGCGGAACGTGACTCCGCTCGTCAACAGTCAACGGTGAATGCTCCGACAACATCCCACGCACCAACCAATGTTTCTGTACATTCGGAGGAGCCGATTGTCATCTCATCCGGCACACCAACGCAACACAACAGCACGGGACAGCGCTCAGGCGCAGCCAGTGACGGCGCAGCCCAACCGATGCCCGGCATGGGAGGGAACAGGAGCACGCTAAGCCCACGGGAGCCCCGAGAAGCCCGTCGGCACGTGGAGTTTGCGGCGACAAGTGGTGAAAACGCCATGATGGCCCCAATGCCACTCAAGCCGCAACGCCCGCCCTGCTTCGACCCAAGCCAACGCGGCGGCCCGACAGTTCAATCGTGGGTCTTCACGATGAATGTGTTTTTCGACGCCAACTACGTCGAGTCGGACGCCGCCAAGATTCGGTATGCGGTTTCACTACTCAGGGGCCCCGCCATGGACTGGTGGCGAGTCATCGTGACGTCGCCACGCGCCTACGAGCCACCGTCGCACGAGGAAGGGCCCTCGGGTCCAGCTGTCACCTGGAGTTCGTTCTGCGAAACAGCCCAATACAGCACGTGGGATGCGTGGTGCGCAGGGCTTCGGGCGCGTTTTGAGCCGATCGCGGCTTCGATTTCGGCGCGTCAGAAACTGCGCACTTGGCGCCAGCTCGGGTCGGTTCAAGACTACACCAGCGGTTTTCTCGCACTTTGCGAACAGGTCGGCTACATGCACGAGGCGGAGCGGGTGGACCGTTACGTCGGAGGGCTGAAGCCGGACATATCGCACGAGATAATGCTACGCGGGCTATCGAATTTCAACGAAATCCTCGCGCTCGCCGAGAAAATCGATATCCTACGCCGACCGAGACCGGGGTCCTATTTCGGACATCGCCCTCGGGGACCGATCGAGCACGCCACTGTACATGCCGTCGCAACGAATGCAGCTGCCACGCCATTTAGAGGGCGCTGCTTTGCTTGCAACCGGCCGGGCCATCGCAAGAGCGAATGTCCAGAGGAGCTGAGGCGTCGAGGAGCAGAGCAGGGGAAGGAGTCTCAGAGGCAGGGAAACGCCAGCAGTCAGTAGGAGTTGGGCCAACTACTGACGAGACTGCCTGCTCGCCCAACCACACCGACCCTCACCGAGTCACAGTACCGATTCACGCCATCGATCGGGCTCGGATGAATAAGGAGGGTACAGCGACCGATTGCCCGGTACTGATCTACGGGAAAATACAGGGAGCAGCAGTGAAAATCTTCATTGACGGAGGGGCAAGTCACAGCTTAGTTAATACTGCAACCGCACGGAGATTACAGTTAACACTTAACCGATGTTTACCTGAGATAGATGCATGCTTAGTCGACGGCACGCCATTGGCCATACGAGAAAAAGTGGAGCGAGTAAAAGTCCGCTGCGGGGGAAACTTCGGGTTTACACAGGAAATGCTCGCAACGACGCTGGATGGGCACGACATTTTACTGGGACGTGATTGGCTGCGACGGTACAACCCACGGATCGACTGGACGACGGGGAGCTGCACAGTGCGAAGTAGCGGTAACTGGGTCATCCTACCTCGCTGGCGGCCACCCGAATCTTCGACAGTCCAGGTCAACGCCATCACGATGAAACGGGCTGTCGCTGCTGGAGCTGACGTGTACGCAGTGGATATCGCAGTGGTAGAAAAAGACGAGCAGCAGAATGATTTAAAGAAACTACTAGCAGCCGTACCGACCGAATTACAGGCACTACTGAAACGGTTCCCGGGGATATTTCCGGATGATTTACCACAGGGACTGCCACCTCAGCGAGCGCACGACCATAGGATCGAGTTAGAACCGGGGGCACAGCCAACAGTACAGCGGCAATTTCGACTGACACAGCTCGAGCTCGACGAGTTACGGAAGCAGTTAGATTACCTGTTAGAGAAGCAGTTTATTCGACCAAGCTCGTCACCGTTCGCCGCACCCATACTGTTCACACCGAAAAAAGACGGAGGTTTTCGCATGTGCATCGACTACCGAGCGCTTAACCGGGTAACAGTCAAATCGCGATACCCCATCCCCCGCGCCGACGAACTGATTGACTAACTGCGAACAGCACGTGTCTTTTCGAAAATAGATTTACGGGGAGGTTACCATCAGATTCGGGTCGAACCATCGGACTGCGCAAAAACAGCATTTAGGATTAGGTATGGGTCATTCGAGTATACAGTAATGCCCTTCGGGTTGACGAACGCGCCTGCGACTTTTCAGATGACCATGAACGAGGCGTTTAGACCACTTTTAGATAAATGCGTGATCGTTTACCTCGACGATATCCTCGTTTACAGTCGGGATAAGCAGCAACACTTAGCAGATCTTGAAGCAGTTTTTAAGGTTTTAGAGGAACATCGGCTGCTCACCAAGGGCTCCAAGTGCGAGTTTTTTAGGGATAGGCTAGAGTTTTTAGGTCACGTCATTTCAGAGGCTGGGGTTGAGATTGACCCAAAGAAGCTGGATACGGTAAAAGCGTGGCGCCCCCCGACGAACATCACGGAACTGCAGAGTTTTTTAGGGTTTGTTAATTACGTTCGACGGTTCGTGCCCGACATGGCACGTTTAACAGCCCCACTAACTGATTTACTGCGTAAGGGGGTCGCTTTTACGTGGGGGGAGAAAGAGCATGCTGCCTTCTCTGCCCTAAAAAACGTTCTCTGTTCACCACCCGTTCTACGTATCGCTGATCCCCACCGCCCTTTCGAAGTGGTTACCGACGCAAGTGACATCGCCATCGGAGCTGTACTGTTACAGGACTTCGGCAACGGCCTCCAACCCATCGCCTACGAATCACGCAAACTACATCCGCCTGAGCGAAATTACCCGATACACGACCGCGAAATGCTCGCGATCGTGCATGCATTCAAAGTTTGGCGCTGCTACTTGACCGGCGCAGACGTGACAGTACGGACAGACCACCGATCTCTACAGTACCTCCGCGCACAGCTCCACCTCAACCCACGACAGATTCGATGGCTCGATTTCCTCGAGTCGAATTTTCACTATACGGTCACATACAAAAAAGGAGCATCGAATATCGCCGACGCACTGACCCGCCCCACTGCCCAGATCCACGCGATACTACTCGCCCAGACCAGCCCACTGCTGACAGGCCTATTTACCCACGGATATCAAACAGACCCGTTCTTTACAGGAGGCAACTCACAGCAATTCGCAGCGGCAAGAGGAGTCTATTACGTAAAAACTGGAACCGACCGCATCTGGGTACCAGGATACACGCTACTGCGGGAACTACTGTTACAGGAAGCACACGACGGAGTTACCTCGGGACATTTCGGGGTAGAAAAAACACGGCAGCAGCTGCAGCGGTACTACTACTGGCCAGAAATGTTGACCGATGTGCAACGACACGTGGCATCGTGTCCCACTTGCCAGCTCATGAAGTCAAGCAGGAAGCGACCAGCGGGGCAATTACAACCCATCCCGCCTCCAGAGCGTGCTTGGCAGCAAGTGACGATGGACTTCGTCACGGGGTTACCAGCTGGGGCGGGTGGGAATGACGCGATCCTGGTCGTCGTCGATCGACTAACGAAAATGGCTCATTTCGCAGCATGCAGGAAATCCATCACAGCCGAAGAAACCGCCCGACTATTCATCTCCACCGTCGTACGACTGCACGGGATACCCGCGTCGATCATCAGCGACAGGGACACGAAATTTACCAGCAACTTCTGGCGGAACCTGTGGCAGCAGTTCGGCACGCGCTTACACTTCAGTTCATCCTATCACCCCGAAACCGACGGACAGACGGAACGGACAAATCAGACCATGGAGCAGCTGATTCGAGCCACGTGCGACGACCCGAATACGTGGGAACAGCAGCTGCCACTCATCGAGTTCGCATACAATAACGCACCATCAGCCACGACGCAACAGTCGCCGTTTTATTTGAATTACGGACAGGACCCAACAGTACCCATGACACCGAATCCCGACAACCCCGTCCCACGAGCACAACAGTTCGCCGAGATTCTGCAAGCAGCACGGACCAGGGCAGCAGAAGCAATCAAAAAATCAAACATCATCGCTAA